CCGCAGAAGCCGTCTGCGATCCAGTCGCAATTTCTGAGAATTATTCTGGCCTGGCTGCCTTTTGTCAACTTCTTAGGAGGAAGTCTGGTGCCACCTTCACCTCTTTCTCTCCTTGCTCTTTGGCCCAGTCTTTCACAAGAGCTGCATCATTCTGCCTATGAGCCAGAGCCTTCTAGCCCTCCCCTCCCCCACATGATAATGAATCAGAGGATCAGGGAGTTGGAAGGGACCACCAGTGGTCATCTAGTCCAACCTCCTGCACAATGCAGGAAATTCACAACGACCTCCCCCCCCCTCCACACCCACAGTGACCGCTGTTCCATGCCCAGAAGATGACAAAAACCTCCAGGATCCCCGGCGAAACTGGCCTGGAGAAAAATTGCTTCTTGACCCCAAAGTGGCGATCAGCATTTCCCTGGGTGTGTAAGAAAGGGCCATAAGAACTAAGCACTGAGGCAACCCTTCCTACTCTCCCTCTCGTGATCTGCCCAAGTTCACAGAATCAGCATTGCTGCTTATATGCCACTTTTCCAAATTAATCATACATGCAGGGGTCATTTCCTGCAGGAGTGCACAGGAGCGGAGCTCCAGCAGTAAAGAGCCCAGGGGGCGGGGACATGCAACAAGCCCCACCCCCTGCTCCCAGCAGCCCTCAGTCAGAGCAAGAAGCAGCCAGGTAAGTTGCAGGGGGCCCCCCCACCCCCCAGTCCAAAACAGTCCAGTGGCACCTTTAAGACCAGTTTTTATTCAGGTACAAGCTCTCCCTCCTCTGTGAGATCTGCACATTTCCCCCCCTCTCAGCCCCACCCACCTCACAGGGTGTCTGTTGTGAGGAGGGGAAGGGAAAGGAGTTTGTAAGCCGCTCTGAGACTCCAAGTGAAGGGCGGGGTATAAATCCAATCTCTTCTTCTTGAAAAAAAAAGTCCTCAAGATCTTTGGGAGCAGCACTGTGTTGTTCAACATCAACAGTGAGAAATTGAAAACCTCAGCAGACCCCCATAAGACAGGAGCCATCTGATCACTGCAGGAGGCCCCCATCAACACCCTGGCTGCAGCAGAGGTCTTCAGGGGCAGCCCCACATTATGTGTATTACAGTAGCCAAGACTCGACATGACTCAACTGCAGATACTGGATACCAAGGTCATTCCTTTCCTGGAAGAAGCAGGGCTAGTGTGCTCAGCACAGTTGGCCAAAGATGCATCCAGCATCAACATGGAGACCCGAGAAGGATATGACCAGATCTTAGGATACCCCGAAGCAGCAGTCTTGATCCTTTAGGGGATTTGTTGTCTCTTCCAGAAATAGCAACAAGGCACCATCCTGGGGCCTTCGTTTCCTTCCACAGCCTCTGGCAACCCAACAGACAGACCCTGCCTTGGAACAAATGCCATTAATACGAAGCAAGCCAGCCAGCTGCCCCTTCGAGGTCCTGACCTGTGACCAGGGTTCATTTCGCAGAAAAAGAGGTACAGGAGCTCATTAGCATAACTCATCAGCATGACTCATTTGCATATGCCACACCCCCTGACATCACCGGAAGTGTGTCAGACGGCAACACCCACCGCTCAGGCTCCACTGGACTCTTTTGGATTGCTGGCTATTGGGGGGGAGGGAACGTGCAGATCTGTCCTCGCAGAGGAGGGAGAGCTTGTACCTGAACAAAACTTGGTCTTAAAGGTGCCACTGGACTGATTTGGATTGCTAGCTATTGGGGTGGGGGAACGTGCAGATCTGCTTTCACAGAGGAGGGAGAGCTTGTACCTGAATAAAAACTGGTCTTAAAGGTGCCACTGGACTGTTTTGGACCGGGGGGGGGCTCTGCAACTTACCTGGCTGCTTCTTGCTCTGACTGAGGGCCACTGGGAGCAGGGGGAGGGGCTTGTTGCATGTGCCCACCCCCTGGGCTCTTTACTGCTGGAGCTCCGCTCCTGTGCGCTCCTGCAGGAAATGACCCCTGCCTGTGACTACTTTCCAGCAATTATCCAAGTTTCATTCTTATTCAGAAATTGGCCACATCCCACCCACCCCCCAGCTCAAGAACAGGACGGTCTGATTCGCAAGGGCACGGCGTGGGAATTACAGAGGAGTCACCCCTCCGCTCCGTAATGAATGAAACAGCACCGTGGTGAGACCGTCTCCTCTCCAAAACTAAGTGTCCTGTCAGGGAGAGTAAATGAGGCCTTCAGAGACGCTAAGCGCTCCGCAGACAGCCGCATAAGTCACCAGTCAAAAGACGCCGTCGGCCAAGAAGAGGATGAAGGGGGAGAGGCTGACAGCTGGGCTTGCGGTGCTGCGGAACGGCAGAAGAACCCGCTTGGGCCCAGATCCCAACCTCTGAGCTGCTTCGTGGAGAAGTGGCACCCGCGAGCCGGGTCCCTGGCCATGGGCCACACGGTTGGGAGGTGGGGTGTGCATGTTGCAGTCACATGCTTCTCCCCAGCCTGTGAGCTGAAGGGTGCGATCACTAAGGCACGTAACTCTTCTGAAGGTGCAGATTAGGGTTGCCAGGTCTGGGTTGGGAAATGCCCGGAGACTTTGGGGGGTGGAGCCAGGAGAGGGTGGGGTTTGGGGAGGGGAGGGGCCTCAGCATGGTACAATGCCATAGAATTAGGGGTCATTTCCTGCAGGAGCACACAGGAGCGGAGCTCCGGCAGTAAAGAGCCCAGGGAGCGGGCACATGCAACAAGCCCCGCCCCCTGCTCCCAGCATTCCTCAGTCAGAGCAAGAAGCAGCCAGGTAAGCTGCAGAGCTTCCCCCAGCCCCCCAGTCCAAAACAGTCCAGTGGTACCTTTAAGGCCAAGGTTTATTCAGGTACAAGCTCTTCCTCTGAGAGGACAGATCTGTACATCCCGTCCCCCCAATAGATAGCAATCCAAAACAGTCCAGTGGCACCTTTAAGATCAAGTTTTATTCAGGTACAAGCTCTCCCTCCTCTGCGAGGACAGATCTGCACTCCCCCCCCCGCAATAGCTAGCAATCCGAAACAGTCCAGTGGAGCCTGAGCGGTGGGTGTTGCCTTCTGACACGCTTCCGATGATGTCAGGGGGTGTGGCATATGCAAATAAGTTATGCTAATGAGTTATGCTAATGAGCTCCTGCAGCTCTTTTTCTACGAAATGACCCCTGCATAGAATCCATCCTTCTAAGCAGCCATTTTCTCCAGGGGAGCTGATCCCTGTCAGCTGGAGATCAGTTGTAAAAGCGGGAGACCTCCAGGCCCCGCCTGGAGGCTGGCAACCCTAGTGCAGATGAAGGCTTTGGGGGAGAAAAAGAACTCAGATTAGACAAACTCCTGGGAGACAGCCGGGTTCGAGTCCAGGAGCACCTTAAGAGACCAGCAAGGTTTCCCTGGTATGAGCTTCCGAGAGTCAAAACTCCCTTCGTCAGATATGAGTAGGTGCTGGATATTTACCAGCGTAAATGCAGCGTGGCAGAATAATGCAGCGGAATAGTGCAGACAGGTGTGTGTTTGGCTGCTAAGAAAAAGGTTGACTTCAAGATTAGGGAAAGGATCACATGGGAATCATAGAATCATAGGGTTGGGAAGGGACCTCCAGGGTCATCTAGTCCAACCCTCTGCACAAGGCAGGAAATTGACTAATACCTTCCCCTCCACACATACCTAGTGACCGCTGTTCCACTCCCAGAAGAGAAGAACCACAGTCTAACTAACTCATCTTCCTAGTTCTGATCTACTCCATCTTATTTCTTTGTTCCCTCTCTGACCCTAAGAGGAGGGAAGTGGAAGTTTTCCCCCAAAGCTCCACCCCTTGTGTAGGTGCGGGATAGGATGAACTATATATATTTGATCAGCCAATCGCCAATCTTAAGGTCACCTCATTAAGAATAAAACCTCCCCCTTCCTGGCAGGAAGAGTCTGCTCTGCATCTGATTGGCTCTGTGCTAAACTGACTATCATGAGTTTACAGAAACCTCAGTTTAACCTTTTCATGACTGAAGGGATGACACTTGCGAAACTCAGCAGTAAGGCTCCAGGATCTCCATTCCTACTTGTATCTGACGAAGAGAGCTTTGACTCTCAAAAGCTCATACCCGCAAAATCTTGCTCTCTAAGGTACTACTGAACTCGAATCTGGCTGTGCTACTGCAGACCGACACGACTACCCTCTGGACTTCTCTTTATGGAAGACAGGTCTGCCTTCCCCAAGGGAAGGAGAAGAGCTTCTCATTGTAATGGAATCATTTGCATGATGGTCCTATGTGGCCACTGATTGGCCATGTGACTCGTACAGGATGGAGAAAGTGAGTTTAGGGAAGGACCCAGATGTTTCCAGTTAAGCAACAGCAGTCGGAGCAGAAGGGGACAGAAGAGGAGGAGAAGAAGAAGAGGAGGAGGAGGAGGAGGAGGAGGAGGAGGAGGAGATTGGATTTATACCCCGCACTTCACTTGGAGTCTCAGAGTGGCTTACAAACTCCTTTCTCTTCCCCTCCCCACAACAAACACCTTGTGAGGTAGGTGGGGCTGAGAGAACTCTTTCAAGAACTGCCCTTTCAAGGACAGCTCTGACAGAACTACGGCTTGCCCAAGGTCATCCAGCAGCTGCAAGTGGAGGAGTTAGGAATCAAACCCGGTTCTCCCAGATCAGAGTCCTCGCACTTAACCACGACACCAAACTGGCTCTCCTGGTCTACAGTAGAACCGCTCGGTTGGCGTCTCCAAGGTACTACTACAGCTTGCCCAAGGTCATCCAGCAGCTGCAAGTGGAGGAGTGGGGAATCAAACTCGGTTCTCCCAGATTAGAGTCTGCACACTTAACCACGACACCAAACTGGATTGGAGGGGTGAATATCGGCAGATCCTGAAAGTGCTTGACTACTGGATCATTATGTTTTGAAACAGATAATTTCTGCTGCAGCACTAGAGAGAACCCCGCACGAGGCCTTTTGTGAGGCCCCAAAGCCAGGCCTTCAGATTCTCCGCATAACATTTTCCAGCCACATCACCAGATCCCTTTATCCCCCTGCAAAGGACCCTTACCTTTGTCTTCCTCCTTCTCGCGGACGTTCCTCCCCTTGAGGGCCCTGCTCCACGTCCCGCCGTAGTCTCCCGGATTGCTCCTCCCTGGTATGTCCTTGGAAGGAATTTTAAACCAGGACCCGTACCTCCGAGCAGTCGTCAGAGGCTCTGGCAGCTCCTTAAATTCCCTGCTAAGCTGCGGTGTCCCCAGATACTGGAGTTCGGTCCTGCGGCTGGTGCCATCATTGGCCGTGGGCTCGTTCTCCGAGACTCTCGGCTCCCCGGTGAAGCTGGCGTGGAGGAACACCAGGCTGCCGGCAGTCAAGTAGAGGGCGATCAGCATGAAGAACCGGATGGGTTTCCGCTGGAAGTACCGTTGGAATTTCACCAAGAGCCTGGCCATGCTGGTTTCATTCCGTTTCTCGGTCGGGCGCAAATCCGCAACACAGAAAGCAGCAGCGACTCCAGGCTTGCAAACAGATTTCCGAGCTAGGGACAAGAACGCAGATGGCTGATATCAGAGTCGTGGTGCCCGGTAGACAACCCTCTATTGTCTGTGGCTCCACGGTGGTATTTCAAGCGGGGAACGATTCCAGTTGGCACCACGAATTGGTCGTGTTTCTACCTTGCACAAAAATAACTCACCATTCCGTGGTCCCGGCGGGCCCTGGCCTTGGCGAGGGAACGTGTGTTATCTTGTTTTAGATGCCGGGCTGGCGCTGAAAAAGACGGCGCTTTCTCCAACAGGAATCCCTGCTGGGCACCATTTTCTTTGTCTCCCATTAACCATCCCCCAGAGAGTGGCCCGGAATTTCCATTGGCCGCGGGGTGGTCTTTGTGGAAGCAAAGGCCTTCGGAAAGCTGATCTGCCGATGCCGTCTCCGTCCGTGGCTTCCAGTCTGAGGGGGGAAGGTCCTTTCAGAGCCTTCTCTTGAGCGCGAGAAGCAGGATCTCCTCTTTCAGCAGAAGAAACGGAGAGGTGACCCAGGGCATTCTGGGTATAACGTGACGCCTGGGACCTCTGTTCGACGGCCTGCCATTCATCGCCGCATCCGAATCAGAAGATGGTACCTGGAATTCAAAATGCAGAAACGGCATGAAGACAAGGAAATGGATACCGGATGTTGACCACCGGAGAAGTGGCTGGTTCTGTCAAGCCAAACGGAACTTGGACCTTCCACACCTGTCTGGATCCTACTGGCATCCCTTCTCTTCATCCAAATGCCCTCCCAGTTCCCCCTCCCTCAGCATCTGTCGTGGTGAAGTGCGCGGGCTCTAATCTGGGAGAACCGGGTTTGATTCCCCCACTCCTCCTCCACTTGCACCTGGCTGGATGACCTTGGGCAAGCCGTAGCTCTGTCAAGAGCTGTTCTTGAAAAAGAGCAGTTTCTGTCAAGAGCAGTGTTCCCTCTAAGCTGAGATAGTGTGAGCTAGCTCACAGTTTTTTAGCCTCCGGCTCACACATTTTTGCCTTGGCTCAGGAAGGAGGGCTCCAGAGCAAACTAATTTATGCAGTGGCCAAATCTCTTGCTCACAACTGTAATGCCAGTAGCTCACAAAGTAGAATTTTTGCTCACAAGACTCCTCAGCTTAGAGGGAACATTGGTCAAGAGCTCCCTCAGTCCCACCTACATCACAGGCAGTGTTCCCTCTAAGCTGAGTTAGTGTGAGCTAGCTCACAGTTTTTAGCCTCTGGCTCACACATTTTTGTCTTTGCTCAGGAAGGGACGGCTCCAGAGCAAACTAATTGATGCAGCAGCCAAATCGCTCGCTCACAACTTTAATGCCAGGAGCTCACAAAGTAGAATTTTTGCCCACAAGACCCCACAGCTTAGAGGGAACATTGATCACAGGGTGTCTGTTGTGGGGAGGGGAAGGGAAAGGAGTTTGTAAGCCGCTCTGAGACACCTTTGGGTAGTGAAGGGCGGGGGATAAATCCAATCTCTTCTTCTTCTTCTCCTTCTCCTTCTGGTCTTCTCCTTTCCCTAGACTCCTTCTCTTCCTTCGGACCCCCTCCATCCTTAGGTTCTTTCGCCTGTCCAGCCCCTGTCTAGCCACTCAACTGATGGCCGTCTTCTGCCTGGCCTGCCCCACTGTGACAACAGTAAAGCAAAACACAATAAGGAAACTGCAAAAATTGCACAGAAAGAGGGTGGTAGGGTTGCCATGTCCCCGCTGTATGCACAGCGGGGGACTCCAGCTGCGGTCCGGGAGTGCGTGTGTGCACGCATAGCGTGCGCGCGCTGCAACCAGTTCACCCAGAAGTGACGCAGCCACGTCAGTCACGCCGGGGGCGGGGCCACGGTCATCCGAGAGAAAAACATAGAGTTTTCCCTCGGATGACCGCGACTCCGCCCCCGGCGCGCCCAGCATGGGTGACGTGATGACGCCGGGCACATCATGTGCTTTGGGAGTGGGGTTCCCCCCGGGGCCCGATCCGTCGATGGCGGGTAACGGGCCTCTGGGGCGGGGGGTGTTGGTGGTAATGATGTAGTAGTAGTGGCGAAAGCCTGGCGGAAGAGCTCCGTCTTGCAGGCCCTGTGGAACTGCGCAAGGTCACACTAAATAGGCCTACCAACATATCTGGTTGTTAAATTAAGCTCCACAACATTTAAAACACCAAAGTTTTAAATTGTGTGTTGTCATTAAGCACATTATGGCATATTGTTGCCAAAAATATTTACGTTTTCAAAATATTCCTGCAAATGTTGTGTATGTCTACAGCAGACACAGTAATTATCATTATCTAATGCTGTTGACTGACTTGCATAAAAACGTTCCTACTACACCTTTTGCATCAAAGTTTGTCTCTCCTTTCCCTCGTTCCAAAATTTAATCATCATCCCCAGCACCACCATCATCATAGGGGGGGGTTTTCAGCGCTTCCCCCAAATTCTCCAGTTTTTCCAGTGGAAAAAACTGAAAAGTCCCAAACCATTTTCACATGATGTATGTGGAGTGTGAAACACCCAGCCTTAAAAGCACACCATTCGTGGTAAAAGATGAAGCATCTCACAGAAGGATTTCCAGTCTCTCCATTGTAAACATTGCCCTTGGGTGAAAATAAGCTGGGGGGGAGGAACCCACTCCCTCCCCCTGAATTTTTATGTTGTGTTCTTCTTCCCGGCCTTCACATCTTGGTCTCAGAAGAACCCTTCAAGAACAAAGAAGCGGCTTTGAAGCAGACACTGACAAACCCCCAGGAACACGTCAGCCAATGCAGAGGCAAAGCAGCATCTCTGGCTGAGCAACC